ATGGGCAAGTACTTAGATTTTAGAAATGATATTCTGGACACACACAAATGTAGAGAAGAGGGGGGGAAAAACCCCACAGAAATTAGTAGACCTAAACTATGGACAAAAGACAAAGAACTTACCTCATACATTTTTCTAGAACTTCTCTTACAAACTTTGGTTTGGGGCTCTCAGGGTCTTGAGTAAGACAATCTGACCTAATGAGAAAATGTAGTTTTGTAGATTCTTACATATAATCTGCATTTATATCTAATGTATACTTAACTACGAAGTTTCTTCTATCTATTAATTCATTTATACATAGTAAATATATATCAAAGAAACTAAATATTTCAGACAGTGAAGAAGACTGCTTTTATGTTACAGTTTTAAATATTAAGTTTTTTGACTCTAGAGAAAGGAATGATAAAACAACACCACTTACCAATCTTCCCAGCTCCAACGGAACTGGAAGTTACTTAGATGATGAGAAAACCAATTAATAAACCTACAGAGAGAAGGGGGGAGATGGGAACAGAAAAGGAAGAATGGTTGCGATTTAGAACAGGATTTTATATAATCCTTCCAACAGATAATATTTTATGGAGTTAATGAAAAGAACATTCCCCTACCTGCAGCAGTATCTTCTTCTACTTATTCTTCCTCCTCCCACTTTCCCCTGCAAATCCTATAACTCATTTTTTAATAGTTGCTTATCTCACTTCCTCTAACAGTGCTATCCTTTAGCCCTTTTAGGAGAGTAACAGATACAATTTGAGCACTTGTTTTGTCCTAACACCTTATATATGTTTATATAATTTAATTCTCACAACTTCTGAAGAGTATCAATTATTTTCCCTATATAACTGATGACAAAACTGAGGCAAAAAAAAAGATTAGTCTCTTATTGTCACACCATACCCCTTTCATCACAATATATCATCAAAGTCCTTTTCCCCTAAAAAATATACCTGATCTCTCTAACTACCTAGGGAGTATCTTAGTATACTGTAGAATGCTGTGAACTTTGTAAGAGCCCAACAAATATTTGCTGAATGAATGCCACAATGGGGATGCCCAACACAACTGCTATTTTATTAGAGGGGGAAAAAGTCATAGAAAACAATTCTTAAAGCATGTTCCTTACATATCTATAATTTCAATCACTGAAATTACTAAAGGCAATAGGTCAACAACACAGGATAGCCTATGTAAAAGTTACTGATAATTTTTAGACATGGAATTTGAAAAATGGAAAGATCCATTTCCAAAAGATCATAGAAATTGAGAAATGTTCAATACCTGTCTTGATCTGATTTGGGAAACTGACAGAAGAAAGAATATCAGCTAATAAAGGTGACCACAAAGACCTTACCAAAAAGAAAACAGTAGACATGCAATTACCACAGCTATAAAAATCCAATATAGTTAGTTATATAAACTAAGTCTTGAAGCTGTAGTTTTGAAAAGACTTCTATGTAGAAGCTAATTATTTTAGAAGCAGATACAATCTATAAACAAACAAAAAATATCTGCTTAGATGTAATAAATATAGAGTATTAGATATTTTTCAATATAGGGGTCAGCATTAAACCGATTTTTAAAATTTACATATACAAATACAGAGCGAAAAGTAAAACTATACCAAAGCACCAAACACCTAAAAAATGAGTGAGATTAATGAAAATCACAGCATCAGCATCATTTCATATTGAAACTTAGACTAGAAAATGTAATGTTACATTACAAGTATGAGTTTTATCTTTACACAAAGCTTATTTTGGAGGTAAGAAAGAAAGCTCAATTTGGAAATTCGTAAAAAGGAAATGTCTTGATCAAATTCTTTTGTAAAGTACAGGGAGTAGAAGATGCTAACACTCAGTATAGAAATAAGGCAGTTACTGTACCTGTCTACGCATGTAGTATTCATTGTGTCCAAACGCAT